CCTCCCCCCTCCCCCCTGCTTTCCCCCTCACCTCTGAAACTGCATAATAATCCCCTAAAAACTTAGTCGAATAAAAGATAAAAGCATAAATTAAAAAAAAACAAAAATCATCGAAATGAATTGGACGTTTAATGACGTAACCTTAACTAAATTCGTTGTGTAAATTCGTTGTATAGTAGATCCCTGCTCTACAGTTTGAGGTGAGAGAGTCCACTCATAGGTGCAGTTGTGAGTCTAGGAGTGCTAGTAATCCTGGGGCTCCTGGAGGGTCTGCGGGGTACAGCCTTGGGGGTGACGTGGGGAGTTAACGTGATGAGGGGGGGTTTCCTCATGGGTTTAATTGGAGTCTTCACAGGTGTCTTCATTTTTTCCCCATCGCTCCTCATATTCTTCAGCACCTGCTCTGACAATAATGTACTCCTGAGCTCATTTCTGCTGGATAAGTGCTCCTGAAAGACCTCGTAGGACTGGAGATTCAAGTTGTCGGTGGAACTGTCAGACAACAGCTTGGCGTTCTTTCTCTTCCTGGGGCTCTCCTTGTTTAATGAATTCGATAGCAGCCTTCTCGATACCTTACCACTCCTTCGAACCTTTTAGGGAACAATTAAATAAAGAATTATGAAATATTAAAAACGACAAAAAAGTGAAGTGAGTTTTTGTTTTTAAATAAAAGAAATAATAACCTTGGACCCACAGGCCAGAGTCGGTCTCATTTTTTCGCTCTGCACGAGTCTCTTCTTATTTCCAGTCAATGCTGGAGACTTCTCCATTGGTAATTTTCTCTTGACTGATGTCATGGCCCTCAAGCTCATAGCAGTGGCGAGATTCCTCTTGGAAGCACTGAGGGGTGTCTTTTTGATTGATTTCTTCTCGTCCTTGGCCTTGGCCCTGGCAAGCCTGATATTCTCCTTCTCCTCGTTGAATTTTTCGTCTTCCTTTTGCAGGTATTCATCGAAAGTGAGTCCATTAAAAGTGAAGGGAGTTTGATTTTCCTCCTCGAACTCATTGAGAAGGTCCCTGAGCCTGGCCTCAGCCTTCGGCAAATTCTTGGTCACGAGTTTTCTCGCTTTCTCATCCTCCAAGAGCTGTCCCCCTCGATTATTCAATCGGTTAGGGTCCTCGGCCTTGATATCAAGTTCCGCCAACTTCTCTCGCATTTCCTGGTGTTGATTAAAGAGTTCGTAGATCTTCTCGTTATTTTTATAAAATTTCTGAAGCTCCTTGAGCTCCAGTTCGTGAAGTGCGAGCACTTCCTCGGTGTAATTCTGGTATTTGTACGGCTGAAAAGCATTTCGTTGTTTCTCACTGAACTTGCAGGCATCCCAGAGAGTCCTGATCTCCCCCCTGATCTTCTCCACGAACTTGCTAATGTTCTTTATCCTGAGCTCCTTGCATTTTTTAATTTCCTTATTGAGGAGGGAGATTGTCACTTGGTCACAGCCAGAATTTTTTTCAAGGAATTCCTCGTAATTGGTCTGGGGCACATCCAGGTATTCCAGAAGGACCAGAAGCTCTTGGCGTTTGGCTTCAGCAATCTCCCTGGCAAGTGCCAGTTTCTCCAGCACTTCCTGTCTCAATTCCTCGAGCTTCTGCATGTTCGAGGGATTGAATACGAACTTGTGATGCTCGTTGACAATTTGTCGCTCAATATCCAGCTTGGGAGAAGATCCCATCTCCTCCATGCTCTTTATTATCTCCAAACGTACCTCCTTGAACACTGCCTTCAACCGGAGCATCTCAGCCTCCTGATTGGTAATGTAGATCTCGTAGGCCTGGAGCTCCTCTTCTGAGGGAATTGTACTGTCCAGGCCAACTGGCTTCGATCCCATCACTGAACAGATGGAGGTCTCCTTCGAGAAGAGCTCCTCGAGTTGAGAGAGACGAGTCTTTTTTACCTCTTCCAGACTATGCAGTTGCTCCCGGAGATGCTTCTCAAGGTTCAGAAGGCTCAACCCGTCCCCACCGAGGTCCACGAGGGTTCGGAGATCCCTGCTGAGGATCTGAAGCTCCTGCTTCATTTTATCGATACTATTCATGAGGGTCGATCTTCGGTGTTTCGTTTCTGTCAGCATCTCCATCAAGATACCCTGAAAATTCAAAGGATCTAGGGGTGTAATGGAAATATTACAAAAAATATTAATATTTTGAAGAAATTGAGATCCTCACTCGGTGCTGCTCAACTATGACATCCTGGAACCTCTTCTTGGTGGCAGCATCTAACCCAATCACCTGCCACTCCTTGTAAAACTCTGGAATTACATCTCTGGTTCCCTGTGTGAGTTTCTCGATCAACTCATCTTCGAGGTAATCCCAAACCTCTCTAAAACATTCCCCAGCCATTAATATCCATTTTTTTTAATCACAATAATCATTTAAAACCCCCACAAACAGGTGATTAAGCCTCTAAGAATTGATTGAGCCCCCAGTATTTACGATTCGCCCAGTATCAATCACTCGTCGTATAAATAATGGCTCAAACTTTTCTCAGGGATTACTCAAAAGTATTCATGCGAAAATGGTGGAAACTGTCCTCACCCAAAGGACCCTTCATCTTACCCCTGATCTTCAGCCATTTCTTCCTCAAAGCAATGAGTCCCAGAGAATAAAGGCACTTCACCCAACTCAGTCCATATATATCTCGGGGGCTGTCAGTAAAAATTATCAGATAACTCTCCAAAACCTTAACAAATAATTCGAACGCGATGAGACAGCGATGGCGTGATCCTCAGGACTTTGTAAACTGCCAGACATGGCCGTTATTCTTTTGAATCCAACGATCGTTCCTGATTGGCCAAGCCTCCTTCCACCGATCACCTTCCACGAGCCATGGAAATTTTAAGAACGGGAACTCCCGGATCTTTGGTGCCATCTTTGGGGGGATCCCGCAGTTTTGGCTGGTTTCCGAATCAGCTGTTGAGAAGTGTTCGATTGACAGTCCAAAGAGCATTGACGGTAAGGACCAAAAAGGATTGTCAAAAGGAGAGGCTCAGTTCTGGGGTTTGAGAGGGAGGGCGCAACACGCAATGCAATGCAATGCGGGGGTGTTTTTTTTTTATTAACCAAGTTTTTATAGCAATGCTGGGGTCTCCATCAAGTCGACGGGGTGAATTTAATTTTTTGCTCCACGAATGCTCTTTGTTTTTCATTTGTTTAACTGAAATTTAGCCGACTGTAGCACGTACGGAAGGGGGAAACCACATCTTGTGGAATTTCAATGGAAAAAATTATTCAATCTATTGAATATATACCACTAATGAATTTATATTTTTAAATGTGCGCGTTGTCCTAGTGGTAACGTGCTCGACTGGCACGCCAGAGGCCCGGGTTCAAGCCCGCCAACATTCATTTTTTTTTTTTAAATAATTCCTATTTTTTGTTTTTTTTTAATGGCAAATTAATGGTAATATTGTTTAAAAACTGAATATTTGAAAATCCAGAAGACATCCAGTGAAATTGAAAAATTAGCAATTTTTTAAAACAATACTTTTGCAATATATATACTCCTAATGAAAATAATTTATTGTAATAAAACGTTATCCTAGCGGTAACGTGCTCGGCT